GGCACCGAATACATATGCGCCACACCAATCTCATTTGATTTGTATGAGGGCTGTGACATTGCCCAGGTGCCCAAACCGAAACAGGACCAGTAAGATACAAAATCACCACTTTAATATAGATCTTTTCATGGTAGACGTGACTTTAAGCCCGACTAGTTATCACATGATTCATCCGCCAATCGAAATACGACTTATACAATCTTAGCATTGTGTCAAACCAATGACGTTCGACCGGTATGAGCAGCCTAGCGTCCTTATTGGTTCTTTGTTCACCTAGCCCGTTCAGTTGAGTCCAGAGCGCTCATAGCAGCTTCTACTATGCGAATTGTTTAATTCAAACATACTTCTTGATTGAACATACTTTAAAAACAGTAAATCGTATAATAATGATAATCTATAGGTCAAAATGAAGCTTATAATAAGAGGAACATAGATATACACAATCTAGTTACTGAATAGTTATACAATAGGAATATATGTATAATATTGGTCCATTAATAGTTCTCAGAAGTTACTCGTAATTTAATCTCCTCTAGGATATAACAGCAAATGGTTGTTGCTTTCAATATTATATATATGATATACAGGACTGTTCCGATAGTGTCTTATAGCTCTGTTATCTGTTTGTATCAATATTGGTTACTTCTAATTTGTATAACAGATTAACTTATGATTAAAAGTGATGCTGTTTAATAGATGATGACTATGTGGTCATTACTGAAGTAATTGACCACTGTTATTACTTATATAGTCGATATGTGGTAAAGTATATTCGTTTGTTTACTAGAATCGGTTATCATCACTACTTAAATACTGAAGTTAGGAGAGAGCATAAGTCAATCGAGCAAATTTAAAGGATATAGATAAAATCTATTCAATGTTTGAAGTTAGATAATAAAAGATAGAAATTTTGAGTGGGGAGTCACCGGAATTCTTACGGCGTGGTCACGTATCTTAGTATTACACCCCAGTTTTTATTTGAAATGTAACCGAGTAACATGTCTTTAATAGTTCGTACTTTCTGTTCACTGGAATAACAAATTGTAGCGAATTACTGACATACTGGACAAGTAGGCTGAAGTAAATAATGATAATGTAACGCAGTCACCGTTTGCAAGCCTTTGTAATCGATCATAGATGACACATTGGCTATTTCTTACCCAATCAGCGCTAGTCAATATTTGGAGAAGACTCTAGGATCTTCTGATGTAAAAACCATAAATATACTAACGTTTCTCTTATTGTGATTCTTACTTCTATCGATACTTGTTATTTGGGATATAATTTCGGTCCCGTTCAATCGTATTCTGAATTGAGGACTTGCCGAGTGAATTGGTGTCCAAGAATACTAAGCAATAGGAATAGCTGGGTTGTAATGAGAGAAATTACAACAACCTTACCACTTCATTTTTTATGATGCATATCCTTATCTTCAGATTTTGTCACGTTCATCAGTAATTTAAAATCCTAAGCAACAATTAACTTGTAGTAATATCGGAGCAAAACCTCTTCAAATACTCATACATTCCAGCTCTTTGTTATTCATCCATGTTAGCAGTATAATATATCTTCGTGTCTATTGAGTTTTCTTGAAATCTGGACGATTGTTGTTGTATCCAAAAAGACATTATTGATTGGCTAAAGGAGATTTTATTCGATTTTCTCAGCTCGGGACCGAACTACCCTACAAATATGATAAATACGGACAGTAAGTAAAATGCCGTCAACTTTTCAGTTGACTGAAACTCACTTGAAAAGTGACAGTGAAATAAGGTGGATTTCAATCTTTTTATAAACCATAAAGTTGAATGCAAACATTCAAAATACATATTTACGTAACATTTATGTGCTCAGCGCGAATTATTTTTGTAAGTCATAACTGCAAGCCTGACCACCACGTCTAGGTAGCAACAACGGACTGGATTTTTCCAATTGCCATATTGTATAGTTTGATCACTTCTACAGCCAACTTGGTTGGTATAAATCTGTAGAATTATGGTATACTTCTTTATTAGTACTGCTCTAAGAATAGAGCCTATCCTGAGATTGTAGGTTTGTCATGTTGTAACTGCCTAGAAGCAGGGTATTATTAAATAACAGTGATTCAGTTGATGAGGTTGTGAATCTTCATCGACTGAGATGGTTGGGCCACGCGTTACGTATACCTGAACACTGATTACCACGATGCGCAATGCTAACCGGTGCTGGAGATGGTTGGAAGAAAGTTAGGGGCGGCCAAACCAAAACGTGGCATCAGTGCTTGAAGCCACTAACTTCTGGTCTGAGCCATGTTGGTAGATGCAGACTACTTGGTTGGGGTCCGCGTGACAATCTTAACCAATGGTTGGAGACTTTTGGTGACATGGCTCAGAATCGAGCACAATGGCGTCGGTGTAAACACTGTCTCTCTTTCCTTGAACTAAGAGATTAAAATCGATCATATCTTTCTTTCTACCAACTTATTCTTCCTTCCTGTACCGTTCATTTATATGAAATTTTTTTACCACCATTGAAGTAAATTCTTCTATGAATCCGGTGTCTATCTTGTTGTGCTAATGCGGTATGGCAACTGTGAACGATGCAGATATGTGCCTGATCCTATGTTTTAGCTGACTGACTGACAGACTGAAGTGCCTAATGTACAAGATCTTTCGTGAAAGTCACATCACTATCTACACTGAGGCATCATATCTTAACAATTACCAATATATGATTCAGAACACATCCAGGTCGGAGATTAAACAATCTGTATAATATGAGTAAAACATGTCGTACAAAATAACCACACCTGTAAGGCTGAGCCATGCCACCCGATTAGATTCAATTGAATTCCTTCCTCCTGTCTTCACAATCATTGGGTTTTTCCCTGCATTAAGTGTTGAATATCTATTTTCCCAGTCGTCTCGTGTTCAGCTTTGAGGATTGTGTGGTTAGAGCCCAATACCACTACAAATCATTTATCTCGGCCCAGGTATCTTATGGCTGTGGAGAATAGAGATTTAGACAGCAAAAACCCAGACTTATCAACACTTGGGCTTCTCAAACCTAGCACGAAATCAAATTCTCTTAATACATCAATCTATTCATAATTAACGGCAGCATTGTAGACAACCATAACACCGTTTGTGAACAATGCAGCCACCGTTTCTCTTGATGCCACAACACAGAAACCGAAACACTTTTCATTACGCTTCTAACGTTGACATATAGGCATCTATCCACAATCGATTTTACATCTATCACTATCAACCAGCTCCGAACTTCTCTGAAGAAGTCTACGACAGTGGACCTAGTGGCATTCTTGCATCACTCTTGAAATGTGGTGATAGAAAAGTTCCATTATCCTGTCTAAAACTGTCCAACCTATCCACGGACTATGGGGCTTATCCATCAGTACGGAAAAATCGCTTACCACCCCCAAGTTCAAAATGGGATCACATAGCGATATTGCTAACTATAGGCTCATTACCCTGACATCCATGCAATCAAGGATCTTGGAAAAATCATCCACAGACGTTGGACCTGGTTAGCCCATTTCAACGTGGGTAATGACTAGACTCTCATACTCCACATTGCACCTGGAACTTCCCGATAACCTAAATCTGGTTCTGCGCAAATACTTACTGGAACACTCCAACACTGTTTATGACTTGGGTAAAGCAATAGTTTCAACTTTTCCGAACATATGGCATCTTCAGTATCCAAAACAAGAAGGTTCATTAAATTCATAATGATCAATTTTAATAATATAGAACCTGGATTATTATCAATATGTGAAAAAAGTATCATGCCCGTCATTGAATGTGGTATTCTAGCCTTCAGCGATTGCAAGCATAATATCTTGATGAGAACTGGTTGTTCACACAAAGTTCACTAAAGCTATTTTGTGTTATTCCGACAATCTCAAGTTAAAACCTCTCTAGATCAGACATATTAAACAAACTTTTTCATTGACTTCAGGTTTTTAAATAGTATTCATTATTCTTTGGCATCCACCCCTTCGTACTCTATTATATAATCCCACGGCTTACACAATAAATGAATATTCTTTCGATTCCAAGGACCTACATAAACGATGTCAGAATTTCTCCGTTATTCACTATTTAACCATATGGAACAGACTCTCAGAAAGCCTTCGTCGCAGCAAAACTGCAACCTGGTTAAAACGTCTCCTGGATAACTGGTTCCAAAAGTGGCTTGTGTCACCAACTATATACAAGTGTGAATACCAATGATGCATTCAAACATGGTCGGATATCTATCTATCTATCTGTGTGGCTAAAGAAATGCAAGTGGGCGCTAGCCAAATCACCCATCATCATAGAATATCAAACAGTTCATGATCCTCGTCAAGATCAGCAACAACCATTGAGCATGTCCACTGTACTTAATTTTACCAATATATTACTGTAATAGCGTTATTTGTAATGTACGGTCATCAAAGCAGCCATAGTACCTGAAAAATAGGAAAGCTTAATCCATGGAAGGTACTAGCTGTAAGGTGTTCCCCCGACGTTAGCTGGTTGGTCAGAATCATTTGATACAGATCATGCATGTTGCTCAATTAACTCATCCATATAATTTTTCATTTTATTATCAAATGACTATCCACTGCTAATATGCACGGAAGCCCGTTAAGGGAAAGCTTCTGTTCCGTCCACAACCATTTGAACCACTTGACTTTCCCATCGAATCATCGAGTGGAAACCATTCCCTCAACACGTGATTGAAACCTCGTCTGTCGACTCTTTCAAAATAAAGTTGTGTCAACTGAGGAACTACAATTTCCAGGACTAACAGAGGACACATGGTCTCGTGTCCTTTCCAAACTGACAGTGGAATAAGTAATTCTCCGTAAAAACTTTTAAAAATAGTCTTATTTGTCACATGGTCACTTATTTCGATTGAATTTAAAAAGATGGGTTATTCCTAAGTTGGAAGACGTTTTTCACGTCAAAACCCGGATAAAAATAAGGTGTTCATTCTTGCTCAATGATTACTTTTAATTGACCTTCAGAAGGCGCACAAATCCGAATTCGGTAGGTAGTTGATTAGTTTCTCGTCTTTACTGCATATATCTCCAGACATGGTACACGAAATTGTTTTATTTTTATCATCGATCAGTCTTCAGGTATTAAACCCTCAGCAAAATGTGAAGCCACGTATAAAGAACTGAAAATGGACCACTGTCACCGCTATATCTTGTTTAAAATCGTTAATAATGAAATAGATGTAATCAAAATTGCTCCTAGAGGTTGTTTTCAATTTAATGTAATTTATCCGCCTAGGCGAAACTATATCACAATTTCAAGATGAAGTTGTGAAGCATCAACACACGGGGTGCTATGGTGTATTAGATTATGAATGTGAAGGTGTTAAAGGATCGAACTTAATATACTTCTCATTGTATGAAGTCATTTATGTTTCTTAATTTGTTATTCTAGAGTGTCCGATTCTGCACCATTAATAGCAAGAATATTACATGCGACAACGCGAATGACGCTGAAATCAAGTTTCGACGGGATAAAAATTGATATTGAGGCTCACGACATCAATGAACTTATGGAGAAATTAAAAACCAGTTCAGCTACAGATAAAAGAAAAATTCGATAAATTATCAATATTAAAAGACCATCTTTTGAGTCTGCCACAATGCTATAAAGTAAATAAGATTTTAATGTGTATACTGTTTGCTGTCTTCATAAATCGTCGTAAAATACAAGTCGGTTTTTTCCACGATATTTAACTTATTAACTGGGAAATATATGAGTTGAGATGTAAGTGTTTATATTCAGACCGTTATTTTTTCGTCGTCTTGGTTCAAAAATCTTTTGTAAACGTTATTCTGTCGATCTGGCATTCTTGGACGAAACAGCAAACCTCCCCAGACGACTAACTTCACTGACCCGGTACTTGTGCAAGAACTGTTAGTATATTGTACTTTAAAATAAGGTTTTTGTTATGTCCAGAATTAAGTTTGTTGATCCAGGTCTTCTTGACGACTGAGTAACTATCTGGTTATTTTTAGTACATTTCACTTTGACACATAAACCTGAATGCTTGTCCGTCTAATTGATTTTCAATTTTGGGATAGCTGTCATCAAGAGTAGTTTGTGGGAGTGATAAGTTCAATCATTGGTACTATTCGCGGACTTTGGTGCTCTATCTTTATTTCCGTGTCCATATGTCATGTTATATTGGCTGTGATTTTGGTATCGAAAGTACAGCTTTTTCGATAGTTAGAGTTTCATATAGTTATTGTAACTTCAAGTTGGCATCTTACTACCAGTTGTTCAGAAACATTGTTATCTTTGCCTTTCCAAGAACACAGCAAACTGAATGCAACACTGGAGAAATCTTAACGTAATTGTGTATATATCTGGCTCAGAATACTCCCCACTTCAGACATGAGTTTCATGAAAAAGCTTTACGTTCAATGAAGCTCCATTAAATATGACGCCTGGATCGACATCAAGCAAACTTCTCACCAGACCGGAAGCAGAAGTTAATAGGATATGTTACGCACCAGTTAACATTTGAAGGTTCTGTAGAGACGGACCCGTCTGTTTCGGAACGCATTTTCTGTCCTAAGATATTGTAGCATTACACTGGTGTTTTTTGATGACGATCATATTGGTCACTGAAAAATCAATCAGCTGTCCACTATAACCGAAGTAAGATCCTACTTAAGTGGATAGTTTGGCCGTGGAGCCTTCATCATTCTTAACAACATCAGCATAACCGTGCTTAAAATTTGTGCTGTTGATGTTCAGAAGAATAATAAAAGCTCCACGACCAAACTGCCTGGCTCAGAGAACTAAACAAGTATTTAAGTAAACAATCTGGACTGAAGATTGAGATTACTTGGGAAATTCCAAGTAAGGACTTGCCTCGTGATTTAGTTTGATGATTTCCACAATGTATGTCCTACTCATCTTCAGCGTCTTTCCCTAATTTCCCATTCAGTTGGAAACCGACTTGTTCTTTGATACAGTAGGCTGCTGCTGATGGTATCCATCCAACAGATATTGAGTATCTTGCATAGACAACTGTAGTGTAATGCCTCTGGAGTCCTCACACTGACAAACAGAAATACATGGAACACATAGCAGCGTAGGAAGCCACAAGAGAAGGAAATATGAAACAACTGAATGACACAATGAAGAAACTAACAAAGAAATATAGTAAACCAGAGGGACCGGTTAAAAACAGAAGGAAAGTTGATCACTGCGATTCAAGAACAGAGGAAGTTGGGTGGAGATATTCTTCTTTTCAGTCCGTTGACACTTTTCCTTCCTTCTAAGTCATCCTGAGTAGAACGTGAAGCATACTTGTAGTTAGTCCTATGTCTGATTTCAGTGCTTCGGATGGTATATTGTCAGGTCTAGCTGCTTTCCCATTCTTGTCTGGTAGACATATTGATTTGTTCGATTGTTGGTGAAATGATATGTGTTAGATGGTTCGTGTATGCTGCTTCGATGTCCAATGGATTCCTTTGAGTTGGCCAATCCAAGAGTTCTTCAGAGTGCTCCATCCAACTTCCTCTGTTCTTGAATCGCAGTGATCAACTTTCCTTCTGTTTTTAACCGGTCCCTCTGGTTTACTATATTTCTTTGTTAGTTTCTTCATTGTGTCATTCAGTTGTTTGATATTTCCTTCTCTTGTGGCTTCCTACACTGCTATGTGTTCCATGTATTTCTGCTTGTCAGCTGCAGTTCTCCTCTATGTGTTCAGTTTGTGCCTCGATTATCTCTGCTTTTATTCATCTATTGTTGGCTGGTGTCTTTTTGTTTTTCCTTCCTTGAATCCTACCCAGAGTTTCGATAGATATTCATACCTTATGATGATGCTTCCTGCGACCCAGAATATCCCGTTACTTTGAAGTTAGTGTTTCTTTGATCTCTTTCCAGTTGTTCTGCATAGTCGTGGATCATGTAAAGCTTGGAACCTGATACTGATAGCTATATTGAATTCTTTGAGTTAGTATCTGGAAAGGCTGTATTAAACCTTTACAATGTTGTTCCTCCGGTTTCCTAATGTTTTCTCCGCTTCAGTTTCCTCTTGGAAACCACCAGATGGTATCTCAAGCGATTTCAGTTCCTCCCTTTGTTTTCACGTCTTCTATGGATCTTCTGAATTTTTTGTGACACTTATATGATCGATCTTTTTCTCTGTAGTGTGATCCGGTGAAAATCCTGTAGCTTTGTGTATGCGTTGTGGGGTAATGTAGTGCCACATATAACCATTTTTTGAAGGCACATCCCAGTCCATGTCGTCCCATGATATTCTCATACCCGGTGCTGTCCATTTCGACTAACACAAGATTATTATTCCAACTGGTCGAGTAAACGTATTAGAAAGGCAGGCGGTCGTGAGACTGTCTCTGAACCAGATGGAACTATTATTCGCCCAGTCCAGCATATTAGATCAATTAACAGGATACTTTAGGGAGCAACTCAACTGGCCTCCAGTCACCCATTAACCAGAATGGGAAATTAACGCTACTCCCCCAAATCTTAGTGGGGTTCAAAGACTGTAGGTGATCTAAAGCACGAGAACAACAGGCTTCGGTGGACTAACACCGGAGATGTTTAGAAATCATCCAGTTTTAACTGTTTAACTGATTGAGATACTAAAGAACATTAGGGGATTGAACGTGATTTCATCTGACTGTTATAGATAACTGATCGTTCCAATGAGAGTATAAATCCTCTGGTAACAACTACAGAGGGATCAGTTTAACTGGTGTTATCTAGATTGTTAGCGTTAACAACCACCTGACGTTTAAGTAGGACCCGTGGAGAGTAAATCCTTCAAAATCAGGGTAGTTTCATATATGTGCCTGAATGTATTGACCAAACAGTCACCCTTCAGTTTTAGAAGGTAGATGTACCGATACCAAATTGTAATTGTTTCGTAACGTTAAGGCACCATCCGACTATGTTAACTAAAAAAATTTATTGTGTTTATCATTAAAAGGCAGACAAAGAAGTAAGTAAACCTTGTAAGGTTCTACCCGAACACTGTTGCTCGGATCAGAACTTCTCGACCGCTGCTGCTACCTAGACGTGGTGGTCGGGCTTGCCTGTCGTGATGAACCAATCGAGCTATACTGGTTCCTCAAGGTCGTTCTATACCAGACAGGACAGTTGAAGAGCGGTAAGACTAAAAGCAGAAAACCCAAGGTGCGAAGGCGAAGTCGTACTGCTCTGTGTACAAACTTGTGACGGTAGTAATTTGTTTCCCCCGGACAAATGGCATAACAAAGATACTGCATTTCCGCAAAGAAGCGTGGGGTTAAAAATGTCAACCCTATAAATGCACACCTCGCCTTGTCGCACGGATATCCGTCTCCGGCGGTAAGGTCTCAACAAGTACGGAGCTAACACAAAAGTTACCCACAGAAAGTTCGTGTGTGGCCGGCCCCAAACAGTTGTCTTTGGGTATTGCGGTCACGTTCTCGGGACCAATTCCAACCCAATTTCCTTTCTAGGTGCCTCTAGAAGAATCCTTTTACAGTTTGGACAACCGGGAAGTGAGAACCGTCCTCATACTTCTAACAGCGCTGAGGACCACAGTATTCAAAATAAACTTCCCTCCTCAATTCCTATTATCCCTCTGACTTTGAATATTAACTCTAAACTTCCTCCTCAGGTGTCAACATTGTCAATGAATCTAGCTCGCGAAATACTGTCCTAAGTCTGCTGAAACCTCGCTCCAAACTACACATTGAAGCCTTCAACGTACGTACCCTATGTCAAATTGGCTAGCAGGCCTCCTTGACTACGACCCTAGAATCTCGTACGATTGGTGTATGCTGTGCCTTCGAAATATGTATTCAGGATCCTAGTGTAGTTGTTCACCCGATCTCACTTAGCGAAAACGGGAAGCCGACGAGATATGCCCTCCGTTTATCTAGCGACCTGACGGCATGTTCTCGTGGGTTGGCGGGTGTAGGCATAGCACTAAATATGAGAGCAGAAGAAGCACTTCTAAAATGAATCCTAGTAACTGCAGCCCGAATGAATTGGAAGATGAATTTTACAGAAAGTTTTCTGAACTTCATAAAGCTAAACGCTCAGACATAGTACTGGTAGCAGGTGACTCTAATGCCCAGGTAGGTGGCTTAAACCAAGCAGAAAGATATTTAGGTGAGCGGAACATTTCAGAGAACAGTTCAGCTGGCCTTCAGCTACTCTACAACTACCCTTCATTCCCAGACAGTGTGAATGGAACATTGAAGTGGGTCCCCCAACTCTAGCAGAAGTTCAAAAGGCTATAGTTAATCTGAAACGAGGAAGGTCAGCTGGTTCAGATGGATTGGTTCCAGAGGTCTTTAAGGATGGTGGTTCAGTTTTAGCGACCGATGAAGTTAGGAATCTTCGTCGACTGAGGCGGTCATATATTTGTAATCACCACTTACCTCGACTAGCGATGTTTGCTGTTATGGGGGAGGTTGGAAGAACATTAGGGGTATCTAAACCAAGAAACATTATCAATCAAAAAAGTCGTTGACTGTTGGTTCGAGTCATGAAGATTCCTTGGTTAAAGTCTATCTGATAACTACGATTAATCGTTGGATACTCTGGGCGATATGGCTTAAAACCGTTCACACTAATTCAGATTCATCCACTTTTTATCTTCCTGTCGATATTAGATTCCAATAGTTCTTCATATACACCTTTCCGTTCGGTCTTTTTGAACCATATTCCCAACCCTTGGCCTTTCCCGTTATCGT